GAGCAGCGGTGCTGGCCGCCCTCCGTGGGGACGGCTCTGCCGGGGTAGCTGGCGCCCTCCGTCCCCGCACGTCCGCTCAGCTCTTGCTTGAAGGGTCACAGCTCTCCCAACTGCAACGCCCCGTCCCCGGCCATTCTGACCCCATCGAGGGCCCTATTTGTGAACAGATGTCTCTGAACAAAGTAGATTAAAAGCCCATTTCCCCAATTTCTGGGCTGTCAGGATTTAAACACTTTGTGGAGTTTCGTGTAGTTTAGACCAGTAGAAAGGTTAAAAGCACTGGGCTATGGAGGCTGATAGGGGTTCACATCTTGACCTACCCTGTTTCTTCTTTGTAAAATGAGGGTGATAATAGTATTTATCGGGAAAAAAAACCCATAGTGAGAGTTAAGTTAGTTATACATGTCAAGTGCACGGGGCTAATAGCAACTCCTACTTTAGTTACGGGATCTTTTCCCAGAAACATGAAAAAGGCTTTGACCAGCAGGTGGCACTGGTAACTATAGTATGATGTGTAGCCAGCCGATCCGAAGATTCCTGGTGTCGCCTCAGGTGTTCAGAGGCCTGGAAACGGCTAAACTTTCTTCCAGCTGGAAAGTACATTAGAAATTAAGTAAGACTACACCCTGGTTTGGTAAGTTGAGAGTAATCTGAGTGTGACTTGCTAAAGCAGGTTGCAGTAGGTCCCAAGTTTCTTCCCACAAGTTCAGTGTCACTTTTTTTCCTTAAAAAAAAAAACACCTTTTCTGCCTCGTTGTGAGCTCAGTGGGATGGTACCTTGAATGTGTGTTAGAATGGATTGGAAGCCACAGAGTTACAATGGGTATCTGCATTCACTCAGCAAATAATATGAAGCACTTACTATGTGTCACGTTGCTCTGGCACTACATGATGAACAAAGCAGACACAGTGCTAGCTCTCATGTTTACTTAGTGGATGAGACCACTGCAAATGTAGATAAATATATGATTATAAATTGCTACAAAGAAAAATATTGAGGCTGTTTTTGATTGGGTGGCTTACCTCTCTCAGGAGATGAGAAGCTGAGCCCAGAAAGATGGAATAAAGAGCCAGTCATGCAAAGATTGAAAGGAAGAGCATTCAAAGTATAAGGAACAGATGCAAAAAGGCTCTAAGGTGGGAAAACGCTAGGAAATGCACAAACGCTAATGCAGCTGAAGCACAATGAGTAAGGCGGAAAGTAGCAAGAGACGATGTTGAAGTAGGCTAGAGCTTTTGAGTAGGGCCATACTAAGGGGTTTGAATTTTATTCTGAATGTGGTAGAAGCCATTGAAAGATTTTAAGTGTGGAATGCCAAAATCCCATTTTTTATTTTAAAAATTCACTCCTAATGCTATGTAGAGAATGAATTGGGTGATGGTATGGGTAACCGAGAGATGACTAATTGGAAGATTATTGACGTAATCCAAGTGGTGGTAGAGATAAAGAAAAGTAAACAGATTAAGATATACTTTGAAGGTAAAGTCTGGAAGACTCAATGGGTTAGAAGGAAATAAGGGAGGAGGGAATCAGGTGATTTTCAGGTTTTTGGATTGAGCAATTTAGTGAGCTAAAGAAGACTAGAGAACAGATTTTGGGGGGAGAAGATGTATAATAGAGAATTCCATTTTAGACAGACTAACTTGGTCTGCTATATCCAAGTGGAAATATTTGATTAGCTGTTGTATGTAAAAACTTGGAGCTCAAAGGAGAGATTTGAATTGGTCATATAAATTTTGGAGTCATCAACATATGGATGATATTTAAAACCAAGGGAAATGATAAAGTCACTGAGAGATTATCTGGTTTGATGGTTATCATCACCATTGGGGCCTGTGACAACCATGCTTTTTGGATTTAAAGCATTAGATTTTAGTAATCAGTTAATTGAACTGTCCTTACAGACATGCAAATGGTCATGTGTTTGTCACTCTGTGTTGCCCTGAGATGCCCCATCCCGTGATGTTGAGAGTGAAACAAGATCTTGTGTCCACAGGTGCTCCCTGGATCAGGCCCGTAAGCTTGCTGGTTTCTATTTTCAGTGAGCTGAGGGCCATGTCAGATTTCTGCCACCTACAGGTCAGACCATGAAGTTGAAGGAAATTGAGAGGCCAGCTGTCCAAGCGTGGAGCCCAGCCAGCCAGTACCCTGTGTATCTGGCCACAGGTATGGTGATACTGTGGACTAGGAGCCAGGGAAGGGACACAGGTCCAGGGAAGCTTAATATGCAGAATTCTTTATTGAACATCAGAGAAAGCTTTAGAGTCATGGGGTTGGCTCACAGCAAAGCAAGGGGATATTAGCTGTTTTGGGTACCTGGGGGTAGCCTTGGACTATGGTTCAAGGCTAGGCACCTCATGTTTTTTTGCAGTTACCATTTGAAAAAGGGTATACTCAGTCTTTTCTTGTTTCTCCTCCTCTCCACTCCCTATATAAATATACCCCAAATCCATGCATATTTTGTTGCTCATACGCTGCCTCTTCCTAACTTTTCTTGTGCCTAGGAACATCTGCCCAGCAGCTAGATGCCTCCTTTAGCACAAATGGCACATTGGAAATCTTTGAGGTTGATTTCAGGGACCTTTCTTTGGACTTGAAACGCAAGGGAGTCCTTTCTGCCTCAAGCAGGTACTATGTCTGAAGTGCTGATGGGTATGCAGGGCAGACCCTGGTGTAGACCCTGATGGGGAATCCTGGGAGTAGTGTGTGCTTCTCAGGGCTCATGAGGAGACCAGTGAGGGGAGAAGGATCCTCACTAAGTTGGAGAGAAGTTAACTCTGGGTTTATTTTGCAAAACTATTTAAAAAGCACCCACTCCTTTCTGGTCAGCAGCAGCAGCAGGAGTGTTAGGCAGAATCATGTGATAGAGATGCCTCCCACAGGCCTGGACCTATGAGTACTTGATCTCTCTCTGAATCCAAAGATGTTGACTTCTTCCTCCCCTGGCTCTTGTGAAGGCAAATACCTTACACAATATCCCCCTCTTCTGCCAAAGGGAGGAGAACGAATGATCCTCTCCTCACTGCTGTCAGGGACCGATTGGGACTCATGGCTCTGGCAGGCTTGCAGGGCTGGCATTCACTTACTAGCGTTCGGTGAGCACATGTATACATGCCAGGCACTATGCTAGGGGCTCTGTATATCTTACTCATCCCTCGAAATGAGCCTACCCAATAAATAACATTATTCCCATTTCACATAGGAGGGAACCAAAACTCTGAGAAGCTAGGATTTAAGTCTCCACCTGTTTCATTCCAAAGCCTACCTTCTTTCCATTATTCAATTGCTCTTTTATAGGTTTGTAAAGATGAGGCTTACAGTATGAAGCAATGGTCTCCGCATTTTTGTACCATTGGAAAAATGTGAATTACTATATTCAAGTCATTCAACATAAAATTATATATTCAGCCCTAACCAGTTTGGCTCAGTGGATAGAGCGTCGGCCTGCGGACTGAAGGGTCCCAGGTTCGAGTCCAGTCAAGGGCATATACCTTGGTTGCGGGCACATCCCCAGTGGGGAGTGTGCAGGAGGCGGCTGAATCGATGTTTCTCTCTCATCAATGTTTCTAACTCTCTCTCTCCCTCTCATCAATGCTAACTCTCTCTCTCCCTTCCTCTCTGTAAAAAATCAATAAAATATATTTAAAAAATAAAATTATATATTCAATGTAAATAATGTACATTTATTATTGTACTATTACTAAAGTGTAATTTTTAAAAGTGTAATTTATATCATTTCTTAGATTAAAAATATGAATCTTTTTCTTACAGCCCAGAGAATTATCTTGCCCATCCATCCCAGTTTAGAATACAGTGTTCCATCCTCTTGTGAATTTTTGGGTCCATCCGAGAGATTAGTTAAGATGTTTAGAAAGAGGTACCCTCTTCTTTATTTTCATGGTTTAATCTAATAATGAGGATTAGTTAGACTCCTTTTTCTTGAACCCCTGTATCATTTTATGACAGTATCTGTATTTTGCAGTTTTTCATATATCTTTGTATTGCTAGTATTGGTACCTTTAGAAGAGCAGGCACTGAAGGGTTTACCAATCATGATGAGATATTCTTAGCCTCTAAGCAAGCATTTCAGAAAGGGCCCCTGACAGGGGTGAGCTAATTCAATAATGTTTCGATTCCTGGAGGTAAGAAAAGGGGCAGTGGGCAAGGGGTCTTATTCTTGACAGGCCAAGCAGCAGCTTCAGCACAGTCGTGGTTCCTTAATCTTAGAGTTCCTAAAAAAGGGGCAATATAATTGCTTAGGAAACCTCGAAATTGAATCCTAAGATCCATGTGGGCAGAGATTTTTGCCAGTTTTATTCACTGCTGTATCTCTAGCACCTAGAACAATGCTTGGCATGAGGTGCTTAATAAATATTTATTGAATGAATGAGTGAAGTAAGAAATTCCTGGGTTATCAAACTGAGCATTCTATCTTTCACTTCAGTTAGTTATATTAGTCTTCACTTAGTCTGAGAGCTTTTCAAGGGTGATGGTCTTGTGCAAGTGAACTAAAGTGAAAATGTTTTGCAGCCAACTAGGTTGAAGGGACCCTTTTTGAAATGTTGGTACTGAACGTGGGCATCATGAACTTTACCTCATGTCCTGCTCCACCCTGCAGGGATTTGTGGGCTACAACCAACATAAATAGTACAGTTAATTGCACCATAATTGTTTCCAAAGATTGGTTCTCATTCCCACAGACCTAAGGGATTGCCTTTGACACCGTCCTGTTAGGTCCTTTCGAAGAAGTCATCTTAGACAGCATAAGCATAAGACACCCACTTCTTTCTGTTCCAGCCTGGGTTAGGTCACTTACTCAAAAGTCAGCATCACAAACTATTGACCAAGATGATCAGGGTAGATAGAGGGCTACCCATCCTTTGCTTTATGCTTTCCTCTTTCTTTTCTTTTGTGTCATCTTCTGCATGGTTTAGTGCAGCAGTCGCCAACCTTTCGGACCACCGGTTGGCGACCGCTGGTTTAGTGGAAAGCACAGTTGTGTTGGGTTGCAGCCTTAATGAGAGCTGTGTGCCTTTGGGCAAATAGAGCTCTGTCAGTGGTCTCAGGTTTCCTCACCTATGTATAAAGAAGAGGCTTTACAAGATGACTTCTAAGAACCTGCTGAGCTCAAAATTCAGGTCTTGTGTTCTTTTTTTGGCTTAGTCTCCTTCCTCCCTTCCAACTTTTAAAAAAGATTTTTAAATATATATTTTATTGATTTTTTACAGAGAGGAAGGGAGAGGGATAGAGAGTTAGAAACATTGATGAGAGAGAAACATTGATCAGCTGCCTCCTGCACACTCCCTACTGGGGATGTTCCCGCAACCAAGGTACATGCCCTTGACCGGAATTGAACCTGGGACCCTTGAGTCCGCAGGCCGACGCTCTATCCATTGAGCCAAACCGGTTAGGGCTCTCCCACCTTTTTAAAAACTCCTCCTCATGTCTCTTCATTATTAACTAAACATATACTTTTAAAAATCTTCTCCTTTCCTTTGCCTGCCCTGTTCACCAGGCCCATGCCTCAACCACATTTGAATCCTGAAAATCCCCTTCTCCTCAATCCATGATGCACCAGAGAAATATCCATTTAGAAATATCTGACTGAAGAGAAGTGTTCTGAAATACTGGTATAGATGTAGATAAGGGACAATCTCAAGCTATAAATAGACTGATAAATGTCACTGGATGCAATCAGAATCAATATGGATTAGCATGTGCACTGAAGCAAGCGATGTTTGACTGGTGATGAATCTCACTCAAGAGGAAAGGTTTCTCGGAAAATAATACATTGTTTATGTATTGATTTTTGAACTGAGGATATAGCTGCTGTGGCTGAATGATGTCAGAGGCCAATGTGTGATCTGCTCTCCACCTCTGTCTACTCTGAGGTTCTAGATCTCTTGAGAGGCCTCCGTAATCTCTGTATGACCCAGCCTCTTCACATGGAGAAAGCAGGTGATCTATCTTCCAGTACTTCCACCTCGGTTCTATCTTCTTTGGGGGCATTTTGATCTCTCTTTGGGTGCCTGTGTAAGGGACAACACCAAACAGAAAAAAGATCACTTTGTATACTTCTTTTAGTTTTCCAGTTTCTAAGACTTGCCTTCTCTCTAAAAGATGGCAAGATCACAGAATAGAGAGAGCATGTGCTTTGCTGTTGGACATACCTGGGTTCAAATCCCAGTTTTGCCATCTACTGTCCTCTTGGACATGTTATTTAACTTCTCTGGCCCTGTTTTCTCTGCTGTAAATCTAGGATGTATAGTAGACACATAACAGGCTGGCACATACAATGCATTCAGAAAAGTAGTTCTTTTCTCAGACAGCCATTGTTCCACTCCACTGTCTTCATTCTCCAGCTTGGAGCACTGCCTTCAACACTCAGTGTGACTTTTTAAGGAAACTTGGAGTTCCTCAGCTATTTTGGACTGGATGTGGACAAGCTCATTTTCACTTTAGTTCACTTGCACAAGGCTGAAATTTTTCAAAAGGAACTTTAAGCAAATAAAAGCAAACTCCAAAACAAAAAAAAAGTACATAAATCATAGCAAGAATTTATCCAGCACATATTTCTAATCACTAAAGCTTGGCCTCAGAGGACCTTAACTGGTGTGATGTTCTGCTCTCATACACTTGAGTTTATTCTCTTCAGTCCTCTGTTTTGCTTTTCACTAGAAGCATAGCAATAAGCTGGTTGTTAGGGCTGGTTCTATCTTTGTGAAGTTCAATGTCTTCCCTGATTGTTCTAGGCTGGTGTGCAGTCTGATGCATCTAGTACAGTCATTCTCAACCTCAACCTGGCTGCTGGTTAGAATTACCTGGAGGGTCTTGCTGAAAATGTAGGTTCTAAAGTCCTGTCTCTGAAAATTCTGCTTCACAAGGTCTGAGTAAGAATCAAAGAACCTGTGTTTAGGTGCCACCTATCATTCTGTCACGTCCTAATGTCTATTGTTGCCATCATTATCCTGGGAACCTCTTTAGCAGAGAATTACACTTCTATTCTTTTGTTTTCCTATCTTCCCATACAAACTTTTCTTCCTAAACCTTCCCCTTAATTTGCTTAGTTTCTATTTTCAGGCCAAGGCCATCATTTTTATTTTTACCTTTTTTTAAGTATTCTAACATAGACAAGTTGCAGACTAATACAATAAACACTTGTGTACCTTCACTTAGTTCATTGCTTGTTAACATTTTGTCACATTTGCTCACATGCTCGCATGTGCTCTCTTTCTCTACACACACCCACAGCTACCTCTGGTCCCCTGTCCATTTGCAGAGCAGAGCTGATTGACAGTCCTTGAGCCTACTGAACGATCAATCCCTGTCCTTGCTTGAATCATCCCAGGTGTTCTCTATCACGTCCTATTCAGGCTCCAGCTTCACCCTCACTCATTAAGTGGCTAACAAAATAGAATGTACCATCTACATGCTTACAGAAAGAAAATCATTTTGTCTGCATTGCAGCCACTGTAGAGGAACTGGGTCCTCTTCTCAAACCCTTTGGTGACCCCCCAACCTTGAGGTCTCTGGTACCTTCTACTCTGGTCTGTATGTCATGTGCTCTGACCATAGTGAGGTCACTGCACCTCTTCTACCATTCCCAGGTGAGGTTTTCACTACCATACCCCCCTCTGGTTCCTGTGTGGCCTGTTATGGGCTTCTCTAGTCACTCTGTTGACTTTCCCACTGCTACACTGACCTCTAGCCCCAGGATGCCTCTAGCCCCAGTATACTAGTAAAGCACATTCTTCTGCCCTATTAAGATCAGACAACCTTAGAAAACATAGCCTTTCTGACAATAGCTTTAGACCACCATTTGTGTCACCTCTGATTTTTTTGTTTGTTTTTCAATCTATTGGGGTGACATATTAATAATATATCATCTGTATATTGCATTGTGTCCTCACCACCCACAGTCCAGTCTCCTGTCACCATATAATTTGATCCTTTACCCTCTTTATCTTCTCCCCATTCCCTTCCCCTCTGGTAACCACACTACTGTTATCATAGCTCTGCTGTTTTGCTAACCTAGTCTGAACTGGTGCTCAGCTCTTCACTTCTGACAGGTTGGCTCTGCTCTTATGACTGGCCAAACAGGTTCCTGCCTGGTCACCCCACTCACTTTCTTTGCTGGCTGTTCCTAAGGTGAGGGATCTTAGGACACCATTCAGTGTGAAATCTGATTTCTTGGAAGGGCTGTGGAAATATCCTTGGCTAGCAGCTGGGAAATGGACAGACCACTTAGGAAGCTTTGAAAGGTTTCACATGCCTTCTTTAGGGGCTTTGCAGAAGACCTACACCTGTCTGCAGGGGGCCCATGGTCCATCCTTTTTTTTTTCTATTTTTGGTAAGACACTGGTAGTATCTTGTTAGAAGCATCCTCAGGAAACCAGAAAAATGTTTCCCAGAAGGTGTGTTTATTCTTCATGCTTCTGTGTCTCTAGGGTTGGGCCATGGCAGCCACACAATGCTTCAGTGAGCTAGCCACACGGGGAAGGCATGAAGTCCTTGGTTTTTTTCTCACATCCAGTTTGAGAGGGAAGAGGGGACATCAATTCTTGGTCTAGGGAATCTGCTTCTAGTTAGGGACAGAAAAGTTTGGTCTTCCTCTAAGCAGGCATTATAGATCTCAGGTGTTAAAATAAAATGGGCTTGACTTTGAACCTTGATTCTGCTACTTCCTAGCTGTAAAATGGGGATAAAATTACTAGCTGTACATGCAGAAGTTTCATAACTTCTCTGGCCTCAATTTCCTCAACTGAAAGTAGAATCAATAATAACACCATATTGCAGTGGTTCTCAACCTTGGCTGCACATTAGAATCACCTGGGAATCTTTTTAAAATCCTGATTTCTGGGCCCCATCCTCCGGAAATTCTGTTTCTTTGTTACTAATGTTGTGGCCCCACCCCATAACAAAGAAACAGAATTTCCGGAGGATGAGGCCCAGAAATCAGGCTTTTAAAAAGATTTCCAGGTGATTCTAATGTGCAGCCAAGGTTGAGAACCACTGCCTTATGGGGTTGTTGAATATTCAATCAGTTAATACATGTAAAGCACTTAAGATAGTGCTTGGTACATAGGAAGTATTCAATAAATGTTAGTTGTTATTTGAGTTGTGAGGATGGGGTGAAGTGACCTATTTGAAGTATTTATCATTAGGCCTATATAATATTAACTTTTAAAAAAAGTATCCCCACACAACTCTGAGGCAGTGGCTTCCCGGCTTCTAGTGTAACATAGAGGGGATATTTTTCAGAGAAAGGGCAGGACCCAGCAGAGGAGACCTTCATTCTGGGTCTGGGATATGAGGAAGACAGGCAGGCCCCAGCTCAGGGTGGGAATGCCTGCATAATGGCAGAGGCTGGCAGAGATGCTTGCTCATATGGACCTGAACTGGTGCTGATTCAAGTTCCTCCTCTCTGTAGGTTTCACAAGCTGATCTGGGGGAGCTTTGGCAATGGGAACCTGGACGGCACCGGGGTTATTGCAGGCGGCGGGGACAACGGCATGCTTACACTATACAATGTGACCCACATCCTGTCTCCAGGAAAGGAGCCTGTGATTGCCCAGAGACAGAAGCACACGGGGGCTGTCAGAGCCCTTGACTTTAACCCTTTCCAGGTACTACATTTCATTTGGTCAGACATGGCCAAGCCCCCAAGCAATAGATCGAATGGAAGCATTCACTTACGACTTTCAGTCTGTAACTCTGAACCCTTCCCAGGCTGTTTTGGGGGAGGCTTTGGAAGCCTCATCTATGGGTCTCCTTCCCCCTCTCCTGCTCCCATCTCTTCTGGGATGGTGGTCTCCAAAGACCTGTGCTTTGTACAGGGCAACCTCCTGGCCTCAGGGGCGAGTGATTCCGAAATCTTCATTTGGGATTTGAATAACCTGAGTGTGCCAATGACCCCAGGATCCAAGTCACAGGTGAGGAGGCTCCGGGGCTGCTGCTTACAGTGCGCAGCTGACTTTCCCAGGGAGGCAGCCAGAGCATAGGAGATTTTAGGCTTTACCACTGGAGGGCAATAAAGCTCCACAGACAACGTGCTACCAGCCAGATGATGACAGGGATGGAGGGGAGGGGAGTGTGTGTGTGTGTGTGTTTGGATGGGTGGTTTGTGGTCATTAACTGTCTTAGGGGTTGGAGTAAGACATTGAGAGAGACATTGTATAGCTTAGGCAAGGTTAAGCAGGCTTGGTGCAGAGGGGACTCCCAGATATACCTTGGTCCTTTTTGTGGGAAGGGTCAGCCTTGTCTCTGTATCTGGTTTTCCCATGCAGTCGGGGGTCTCATGTATTTCTGTCTCTAAGTGTGCCTATCTGTCAGTCTATAGCTGGGCCTATCTTTTTGCTTCCTGGCTTTCCCCTGGCTTATGCTTACAGTATCGTGAGGTAAGTTAAGAATGAATTTGATAGCATCTGTGTCCTAAAAGTAGCAATGGCTTTTTTTTCCTGCCTCGCTCTCTCTGGGAATCTTGGGTGTTTATGTTCCCCTTCCTCACTTCCTCCTTTTATCCTTGAGGGTTATTTTTAAATCTTGACTCTATCCTCTCAGGAGCACCTTGAGATAGGAGTGAAACCCAAGTGTGCCTACCATTGTCTCAGCGTCTACACCAGTACCCTAAAGGAACCTCTCTGGAAAATTCAACTCCAGCTCCCTGAGACTGTCTTGGTTTGGGTAGCCCCATATCTACCGTTAGGCTTTCTGTGGGTGGTTGGGAGCAGTGGAACAGCAATTGCCTTTTGGTTGGAGGGGGATAGCAAGTTGTCCTTCACCTGCTACCCCCATCCTGCCTCAGCAGCCCCCGGAAGACATCAAGGCACTTTCTTGGAACCGGCAAGTTCAACATATTTTGTCTTCTGCTCACCCCAGCGGCAAGGCAGTTGTATGGGATCTCAGGAAGAATGAACCTATCATCAAAGTCAGTGATCACAGCAGCAGGGTGAGTCATGAAGCAAAATATAGGCTTGGGCTGTGGCTTCTCTCTCAGGCGTAGTCATTGCAGCTACTCCTCCCCAGGCCAGGGTTCTGTTTGCAGCTGTTACACATGTGGATTCAGCCCCTAGCAGATTTCCTATTGAGAGTGAAAGCTTAGGGACCTAAACAGACCTGATAATGGGCACTTCTAAGGCTCCTTCCTTTTTCATGGTCATCACGTATTTCCCGATGGCTGTGGTGGTCTCAGTCACCTAGATGAGACACAAAACCTGTCCTCGGAGGGGTCCCATCCCAATTGGGCAGAAGGGGTTCTCACTAGAATGGGCAGGTTATGGTACCCATTGGAGTCTGCTTTGGTCACAGATGCACTGCTCAGGCCTGGCCTGGCACCCAGACATAGCCACTCAGTTGGTGCTATGCTCAGAAGATGATCGTCTCCCAGTGATTCAGCTGTGGGACTTGCGCTTCGCCTCCTCACCTCTGAAGGTGCTGGAGATCCATAGCAGGTAGTATCTCAAACTTCATCTGCATCCTTGGTGGAGAGCAGGAGCATAATGACCTGGGTAGGGGGCAATGAATGCTTCACTTTAGCTACCAAACATCCTCCCTGTCTTCAAAGCCATCCCAGTGAACACACAGTCACCCAGTCCTAGCTCCAGCCCCAACCAAGAGGAATTCCTTTAGACCCAGAGGTCATGGAAAAGAGCCTGAGATGCCATCTAACTTCTAGAGATGGGAGTGGAGATGGGGAAATGAGAAATATTGGAGCCAGTGTTTAGCCCTTAGGAGAGTCCCCAGGCTTCCATCTGGTAATGTTCATTTCTTTAGTGATGAGGTTGCCTTCTCCAAGACTTCTCCTTAGTAGAAGAACCTTGGCTCCTGTCTGTCCTGCACACAGGCCTGCCTCTGAAGCTGAGTTCTGGGGCCCATAGCAGAGAAAGCAGCCCCACAGTCTGTTCTTTGTGACTAAAAGGCCATGTTGCCTTTATACCTTCTTGGGAACTTTTGAGGGTTATGTCCTTGCTACTCTCCTGAGCTAAAAAGCACCTATAGGGATGGGTGCTTCTATGATTCATGCTGATTCATAGTCCCTACTCTACAATCGGGGAAAAGAAGAAAGCCATCCTGCAGTGATCTATGGAAGGCAGAGTGATACAGTGCACAGTGCATAGGCTCTTAGAATTGACTTGGGTTCTGGCTGTTTGCTGAAAATTCCTTAATTTTTTAAAACCCCATTTTTCTCATTTGTAAAATGAAATCAGGCTGCTCATTTTGTAGGGATGAGATTTATCAGAGATATATAAAGTACCCTATTCATAGTAGGCCTTCGGCCAATGCTATGGACAGAGGGACCTCCTTCCTTTTTAGGGGTATCTTGTCAGTGTCATGGAGCCAGGCTGATGCTGAGCTGCTGCTCAGTAGTGCCAAGGACAACCAGGTCTTGTGCTGGAACCTCGTGAGCAGCGAGGTAGGCTGGCCTTTCTGTGGGTGTTCTGGGATGGGAGATGAGATGGTAGGGGAAACCCAGCAGCAGCTATGCATTCTGGGCCGCCTTATCTATGTCAGGGTTTCCCTGATGGTGTGTTCCCTCATATTAGGTGGCATATAAGCTACCCACACAGAGCAGCTGGTGCTTTGATGTGCAGTGGTGCCCTCGGAACCCTCCAGTATTCTCTGTTGCCTCCTTTGACGGCTGGATCAGTTTGTACTCTGTGATGGGTAGGAGCTGGGACGTCCAGCAGATGAGACAGGTTGACAAGGTTTGAAGGGCTTAATGAAAAATGCTGGAGGGAAGGGGCTGTCTCTCTTTGTGGGGAGAGAGCAGGACATATGGCCTGGGAAGAAGTGGGGATATTGAAGAGTAGGAGGGCAGGGCCCTGAGTTTGGGAGGGCTCTACTTTTGCTCCAGTGCCCATCTTCCTGGGAGGAAGTCAGTCCTGCCACAATACAAAAGAGGCCTTCACCTTCACTTTTGTTCTTGGATGTTCCCTGTGGTATTTCAGGGACATTGGACCTCATGCTGGGACATTATTTTGGAAGTATGAACTGTCTTACCTCCCTTGCTCCTACATATCCATTTTGTGTCACATTCCTCTGAAGACCTTAGAACCAGTAGGCTTTCCAAAAGCCTATTTCATGGGGATCCCACAATCACCAATAGAATACGGGAGTCTCATCTTTGTGGGCTAGATTAGGTATCTCAAGGATTTCTCCCAAAATGGAGTTTGTAGGTGGAGTTCCTGGCTAGGCCACCATTTCAGGCTGGTGATGCAGGTGTCCTTTTGCCCCCAGATCTCTTCCTCCTTCAGCAAAGGCCAGCCTCTCCCACCATTGCAGATGCCAGAGCAAGTGACTCAAGCATCATTGATACCTCCTCTGAAAAAAACCCCCAAATGGATGAGAAGGCCAGCAGGTGTTTCATTTGCTGTAAGTCTAGTGTGTGTATGTGCGAGGTTGTGTGTGTGAGGGCTTGTGAAGCCTACTGTGTGCCCAGCATGGAGCTCCGTTCTGTAGGAGATACTTTTTCCATCTACCTGTGTCTCAGAGTAGGTCCTGCTTTACTACTCAAGCTTCCCTCTCTACCCCTTCACCTGCTTGCTATCAGTCCTGTATAAAAGGCATTGATTGCTTTAGACCTCCCGGTTATGGAGAACTGCTTGAGATGCCACCTGATTTTTGTCTAATCTTTATGTGTCTGGACTGGTAGTGAGTCTAGCTATGCAAGGGTTACAATACAAAGCAGGAAAGAAAAAAACAGATTTCATCCTGTCAGTCCTCTGCTCAAAACCCTTGACCCCCATTACCTTGTTGGCTCAAAGTCAAGTGTACACAGCACCCCTTTACCCTTCCAGTTTTTATTCCCACCTTATTCTTATGTGTTCTCTATGGTCCAAATAAATATGACTCTCTTATGTCCCACGAATAATTCCCCAACTCTGCTGCCTCCACCTGTACCCCATCCTTCAGCTTCTCTCTCAGGCTATTGAATCCTGGTACAGCCTTTCAAGGTCCCTCACTTAAATACCACCCCCTTTGGGAGGCCCATCTTTAACCCTCATCAAACTTAACCTCACTTCTGTAATCTCACAGATTTATACTCCTGTATGATACATTCTACTGCACTAAACTTATGTAGATGCATGTCTCAGGACCCTACTAAGTAATAGACCCCTAGTGGATAGGGACCACATCTTCTTCATTTTTATCCCTAAAGCAGTGCTTCTCAAACTTTAATGTGCATACAAATCACCTGGGGCTCTTATTAAAATTCTAATTCTGCTTCATTTGATCTGGGGTTGGGCCTAAGATTCTGATTTTCCACCAAGTTCCCAAGGTGATGCCCTTGCTGCTGGTCTGAGGAGTAGCAAGGCCCTAAAACACCTAGCCCAATGCTTTAAATACTAGGCTTGAATTAAAAGCAGAGGGATAAAAGTAGAGGCTCTTGTTTTCAGAGCCAGCAGTTTTATTAGGGAGGTCAGACCAACACACTCAAGAGGCAGCGAAGTGAAGGATTCTGAAGTCACGAGACCTGAATTATTATCGATCTGTCGCTTATCAGCTGTGTAACCTTGGGCAGGTCACTTCACTCAGGACTTGAGTGTTCTTATCTGCAACACAGGGATAGTGATAGCTGCCTAGCTCACGTTAGTGAATTGACATGAAGCTCAAATAAAAATATATGTAAGCACTTGTCAAACTCTTCAGTACTATACCAATCGAAATTCAGGTGGTTTTGTTTAGCACTAATCAAAGTACAGTATATAGATTTTGTGCTGTAGGAGTCAAGAGAGGAATTCTGCCTGGGAAAGCTCATTAAGGAGGGGGTCTGAGGAAGGGAAATAGTGAATGGCTAGGGCAGTGGTCGGCAAACTCATTAGTCAACAGAGCCAAATATCAACAGTACAACTGAAATTTCTTTTGAGAGCCAAATTTTTTAAACTTAAACTATATAGGTAGGTACATTGTTAGTAGTTAACTTAATTAGGGTACTCCTAAGGCTTAGGAAGAGCCACCCGCACTCAAGGAGCCAAAGAGCCACATGTGGCTCACGAGCCACAGTTTGCCGATCACGGGGCTAGGGAATAAAGCAGGAGTTGTCAACCTTGGCTGTAATTGGAATAACCTGAAGAATTTAAAAATACTGATGCCTGGTCCCACCCCCAGAGATTCTGATTTTATTGTTTGGCGTAGAGCCTGGCAACTCTGAACAGCTCCCCAGGTCATTTTAATATGGAGCCAAGGTGGAGAACTGCTAGAGTAAAGGGCCTTTACTAAGCTTTGTATTTATGCCGAGTGCTTTATATAAAGTACCTAATTTGGTGAGAAGGATGCTCAGGTTGAGGTGTTGTGGTAGGTGAGGGCACAGAGCAGGAAGGAACTGGGGACTTGGGGGATGTGGCGCAGTCACACAAGTGAGCAGGGAGAGAGGTGCTGCAGAGGCAGGTCTGGCCATGGTTTTGAAGGATTTTGTGTACAACAAGCAGAGTAGCTTCAGGTCTCTCCTGTGGCTTTATGAAACCATTACAAGCCCTGAGTAGCAACAGATACAGGGTTGTGGGCTAATGCTTGGATTGGAGGAAGGAAAAGCCTAGAGGCTAGTAACCTATTCCAGTATTCAGGTGCGCTAGCACTGGGAATGGGACAGAGGGACCTTCACAAGAGACATTGAACAAGAGGTAAGACTTTGTTGTTGCTTGGCTGTAGCTGTATAAAGACTGATGATGCCAAGGTGTTTGGTCCAGGTGACTGGGAGAAGGGTGGTGCCAGGACAGATGAGGAGAAGATGAGTGCCATGTGCTGAAGTTTTAAGCTGATGGTACTAAAAATGCAGAGCTGGTTTTGATATGGGGGCACATTTGCTACTCAATTCCTGATTCTATTCCATCCCCAAGAGTTCTCTTCTTATTGATTTCCTATCCTAGGGTTGACCAACATAGGCCTGTCCTGTGATCCTGACTTGGTGTTTATTTTTAGCTCAAAGGCATGACCGTTACCTTTCTTGTTTTTCCTCACCAGTTTGGGGGGAAGCTGGTTACTTTTGGCCTTCCCAGCACCCCTGCCCATCAGGTGCCACAGCCTTGCCTTCGCCTAGTCTTCATCAGTCAAGTCACCACAGAATCTGAATTCCTGATGCGGTCAGCTGAGCTGCAGGAGGCCCTGAGATCAGGAAATCTCCTCAATTATTGTCAGAACAAGATCCAGCGAGCATCAGTACAAAGTGAAAAGATGCTCTGGCAGTTCCTGAAGGTAGGAAGCCTGAAGGCTGGATGCTCAGCGGTGTTTCCCCAAAGCTGGGTACTGCAACACCAGGAGATGCATAACCACACTGTGACCCAGATTTCAGAGGCCCTGACTCCTAGTAGGTTTTTTCTTACATGACACCCATCCTCTGGACACACAATCTTCGTCCTTTACCAGAGAGAGGCTCAAAGACCATTTGCACTAGGAAAGGTGAGGGGTACAAGCGACATTTGCCCTTTTTGCTACTATTGCTTATGTCCTGGATACTTTGCTGGAGCTGAGGTGAAGACTTCCACAGGGCCATGCCGAAGGGCAGATAAGATGATGGGAAGGGAGAAGATGGGAAGGGAAAGGAAGGGAAGATTAGCTGAAAGGACATATCATTATAAGAAGGCTTTGAGTTTGTTTCAAATAACCCAAGGCAAGTCATTGTGGTGGGACTCGGGGCTCAAGCCCCCTCTACTCTGGAGGCATGGCTTCAGTTGCAGTACTGCTTTAACTTCAAGTTCCTTATGACACCAGGAGGAGTGCTATAGATCAAAGGAAGTGAGCAAATGAGAGGAGAGGGCTAACGAAAGAAAGATAAATAACTGACCAGACAGTGAGAGGGTTATTCAGATGTTTGGGATTGTAGAGAAGAATGCAATAAGGACAGGGCCTTGTTCCAGGGGGTCTGAGAAGGATGTGGGCCTGTGCTTCAGACATAGAACTTAATGAAGATAAATACCCAGAATCTGGGAAGGAGAAAGGGATTTGAGAAAGTTCATCAACTATAGAGTGAAGCTGGAAGACATGTGGGAAGAAAAGAGAAAGGGGAGCTTTTGTTATAAGCAGGATACAGATAATAGCTCCAGGAATGGTGGGGTGGGAAAGCAAATAGAGGGAGTGATCAGGAGTTCAGCCTTTATTTACTCAAGCAGCAGTGTCCATAGGACAGAGGGGAGACTGGTTGAAAAGCTACCCAAGAGCTGTCCATCAGAATGGTCCTGAAGCTGAGTGCAGATGAACATTTCCAAGGGAAGAGCATGGAAGAAGGAGGGGCCTTGAGAGGCTATGGAAAAAATGGTAGTCAGAATTCATGATTCAGTACAGGATCAATGAAGGGCCCAGATCAGCGAACCCAGGTTAGAGTATGGCTTCAGGAAGGCTTGGCCCTCAGTATCTGGTACACTGAGTGGGTAAACTGACTTTGTTTACTATATCCATGCACCTTCCAGCAGGAGTCTTCTCAGCCTGACATTTAGACTAGGAAGACTCACTTGGTATCATCTCCTCAGAAAGATGTGAGATAGAAACCACAGCTGTCAGCAGGGTAGCATCAGATGTTCCCTCCTGGGGCCGTTCTTGCAGCATCCATGCAGCAGTGCAGAGTTCTCTTCAGCGCCCCAGAAGGTTGCACAGGTGCAAGGAGTTAAGATGTCCACCAGGCAGGTATGTAAGTTGTCCTGGCTTAGAAGTCTCAAGCCCTCAAGAGCCAATATCTCTTGTACCAACTCCAAAAGTGTAGCTTCTAGAGTCTCTGCAAGGGATCTATTCAGTTACAAGAGTCTTTGCAATCAGGGAAGCCTAGAACATGGTGCCCCCATCAATTATTTATAGTCTATATAGTTCCAGTCCAAATGCAATTTACCAATCACAAGCAATGTTGCCTAGAAACATAGCTCATATTTTACTATTATCAGGTTACCAAGGTAACAAATGTAGAAAGTCAACTGAAGGTTCAGTTTTCATGCAGAGAGGGAAAAGGTTTTGTTAACACCATGCCTACAGCCCAGCAGGAATCAAATCTGAGGAGAAAAAAAGGGAGAGTACAAAGAACTATATTGGGGAGTACGCTGGCACAGATGTCCAGTTTTAGCAGGAGAGGGTTATTTACATTCATATAATGGAGACTTCTGTGTCCTGTGGTTCCTTAGGTGACCTTGGAGCAAGACTCCAGAATGCAATTTCTAAAGCTATTAGGATACAGTAAAGATGAGCTTCAGAAGAAGGTAAGCAGCTTTCACATCAGAATCATGTACTTTATATGCAGAGAATCCTATCAGTGGAAACTATCTCAGAATGCCTCTTCCTGAACTTCACTAATGTACACACAAACTTAACCTCCTGGAGTTAGGCTGTTTCCCAGGAAAATAGCTCAAGGATCTTAGTCTAGTTGGTGGGGTTTGGAGGTGGAAAGAAAGCAAAATGCTTGTTTGACCTTGTGCTGGGAGAGTGGTACTCACAAGTCTCTCCCTGCAGGTGGCCTTGTGGTTGAAGAGAGACTCAGGGCTGGGTAAGAGCCCCCAGCCCAAGGGAGATAACCTCAGCAGTACCAGACAACAGGCCTTCGGCAGCCAGGTGTGGTAGGAGCCCAGCCAGCCAGACCTACAGTAGCACAGGAGACCAGCTTTTAGGGCATTTCAACCTTCCTGGCCCTTTGCTTTGCTCTCATGAAGTGCTCAGCTTCTGTAGAAGTCTTCAGACTCCTTCCTCTGTGTCAGTGAGACACAGAGTTCATAAGCTTTTGGGCTGGGAGTGGATCTGTGTTTTAATCATGAACGTGAGCCCTTCCCAAACCTTACCTGCTTCTTCTTTTAGCTTTACCCATTGAGGGTCAAATTTATTACTGTTCCCAGAGAGAGCTACTAAGCCAGCTCTCTGTCTTTGGGGTTCATTTTCTAAGTAGCCACCTTGGTCCTTCCTTGTTCAGGTCTCCAAACACACCACAGAAGTCTCTGCCTCCTCAGCTTTCTTTGATGAGCTGGTCCCTCAGAACATGACTCCATGGGAGATTCCCATCACAGAAGGTACCCTCTGCATGGGAGTAGGTGGGCTCAGAGTTCTCAGACTTGAGGACATTGCTTTCTTGTCCCTTGCCTCCTGCCTCCCTCCCACCATCACAAATGCTGGGTGGTTCTGTTACAAGTTAGAGCACTCTTTGGCTGTTGATTTTCATGGAGGGGTCTTTCCTATGGAAACCTTTCTACTAAGATATTTTCTCAATCCTTCTGTGTTCTTGCTTTAAGGACTGTGACCCTGTCCTTGCTGAGCAATCAGACATCACCTGTGATACTGCCACATGAGTTACTTCCTCATCTTGGGTTCTCTCCTTAGAGAGTAACCAGGACACCCCACTATATTTTGTTGTTGAGGAATGAAACTTGGGAGTTTGTTTGGGGCTAGGGAAGCTGAATGATACAGACATAGGAGGCATGCTGTGGGCTCTGCAGGTGACGGGAAGCTAGGGTTCGAGGGCAGGTTAACGTGGAGGGGATGCCTCTGCCCCCAGACACAGATGGACTCCTGAGCCAGGCTCTCCTGCTCGGTGAACTGGGCCCTGCTGTGGAGCTGTGTCTGAAAGAAGAGCGCTTTGCTGATGCCATTATCCTGGCCCAGGCTGGGGGCGCAGACCTGCTGAAGCAAACACAGGAACGCTACTTGGCCAAGAAGAAAACCAGAATCTCCTCGGTAACTGCCCACTGTGCAGGAGAGGAGAGGAGGGCATTTCTTGGACTTTGTGAGGTGGATGTCCACACTTTGGGACTGGTGTTCAGAGGATCTGCCAAACTCTTTTCCCACTCTAACCCCGAGCCCCTAGTACGTGGTCTAACAGGAAGCCTGCTCCTGCTGCCTGTGCTGGATGCGTGGTTGATGACCTAATTCCCTCCCTGCCCATTACAGCTGCTAGCCTGTGTTGTGCGGAAGAATTGGAAGGATATGGTGTGCTCCTGTAGCCTGCAGAACTGGAGAGAGGCACTGGCTTTGCTGCTGACATACTCAGGGCCAGAGACATTCCCTGAGCTCTGTGGTAGGTGGCCCTAGGCTTTAGAATAGAATGGTGTGACTTCAGTGTGGAGTCAGTGGACATGCTGATGGAGGAGGCAGAAGGGCAGCCTGAGCTCTGGGAGGCCAGGCCATGTTATCAGAGCCAAGGTCTGGTTCAGCTGGGGGGCAAGGACTATAGTGCATGCCCCTACTTTCATTTGTTGTCCTGTTTTTCTTGTCACCTCTTGAGGCAAGAGCTTTGCCCTTCATTGTAGAGCAGGGTGAGCCTCAGTGTTATCGAAAGCCACTGTGGCTACTTGTCCTATAGCTCATGATCCGCCACCCATTTCCAAATAGGGAAAGGAGGAGGAGCCAAGGGAAGCTGTGACATTAAAGAAGTTTCCATCTCTCTGCAGACATCCTGGGTGCTCGAATGGAGCAGGAGGGTGACAGGGCACTCACCTCCGAAGCCAGACTCTGTTATGTGTGCTCAGGGAGTGTGGAGAGGCTGGTGGAGTGCTGGGCAAAATGCCACCAGGCTTCATCCCCCATGGTTCTACAGGTACCCCTTCTCTGCAGGGCACGGTCCCTTCATTACAGACCCTAAGGAGAGGCTAGTGGTAGGGATGTGCAGGGACATCAGAGCGAGTCCTCTGGTTACCCAGACTGGAGTCAGGGTATAAGGGAAAATGGGCCCTTAATGTCTGGGACCTTCTCCCAAGGATGAGCTGTCACCTCCTCCCCTCCTCAGTCAGGGAGACTGAGCAGAAGCTACTTAGGTATTACTCTTCATAATGTTTTCCTACTTCAGATTTGGTTATACAAGTTTATTCAGTATTTGAGTAATTGTGAGCCTGGGCCTCCTATTAACTGCTATGAAAAATTCTGTGGATCTAAATTGTACCAGACACTCTTCAGGCAACCAGAGAAGATGGGGGTCACAGACTCACAGGGAGACAAAGTCATACATAAAACAGTAGTATAACTGAGTCTGAAATTGCTGATGGCCTAGCAGAAAGTGTAAAGAAAATAGGCAGAGATGTACGAGAGTCTAAGATCCCGATGGCCCCACTTGAGCCCAGTGCTAAGAGCTTGAGAGATGAGGCCAAGTGGCCCTTCTTTAACTGTCATGTCTCTTGTATGTCATCACTTTCTGTCTCCATCTGGCTGTGGCCAGATGCCCTCCTTCCCATAGTGGGAAGTCCCTGGGTGAGCTGCCTGGGCTTAGAGAGCAGGATGTGCTTTGAAGAGGGCTGACTGCCCTCATCCTTGTTCCTCTAGGACCTGATGGAGAAGGTAATGGTTCTGAACAGGAGCTTGGAACGACTGCGGGGTCCTGATGGGGTGAGCCCAGGCCCTGCCACAACCTACAGGGTCACTCAGTATGCCAGCCTCCTGGCAGCCCAGGGCAACCTGTCCACTGCCATGAGCTACCTACCCAATGACTGTGCTCAGGTGAGTGGGGTCTTGGGGAAAGAGCAAACCATTTAATTCAGTCATCTAGTACTGGCTGAGCAATTCAATGTTCTAGGCACTATGCTAAATGCTGAAGCTCCCAGGATAAATAAGATCTAGTCCCTCAGGAAGCTCACAATCCCTTGGGGGAGGGGGTGGG